ATATTTATATACTAATAATCTTTTTTATTTTTAGAACTATTAAAAAAATTCAATAATGAAAAGAATAATTATAATATATCTTTCAATGACATCATTAATAAATCATATTTTAAAAATGATCAACAAGAAAATGTATTAAAAGCAATTAGGATATTAATGCCAAACTTTAAACCTTCCTCTATAAATATAGATACAATGTACAATTGTAATCTTCTAAATCAAATTCCAATGTCAAATAATTATGAAAGTCCAGTGAAAGAATTATTAACTAATAAAAAATTAAATGATCTTTTAAAAATACAACTTCAAAATGAATTAGCAATTGAAATACAGATACCAAGTATTAAAATAAATGAAAAAAATATAAATGCTGATGTAGTAAGATATTATTATATAATACTTTATTATTTAATATTTCAAATATATCTTTCTATTATTACTTATTACTTATTATAAATTTAATTATGATTTTATCTTCAAGATGTAATATCAGTTTTTTTTTTCTATATATTAGGAGGAGAGAATTATGGAACTAGAAAATTATTGGAAAAAAGTAGCATTTACAGCTTTTGAAAAAAACTTAAAATGTTTAAAAGAAAAGGAATGCCAACAACATAATTTGATGGTTTTATATCCTTTTTTAGAAGTTTTGAATAAAGAACACTATATAAATGCTATATTGCGAGAAATTAAACAATTAGCCATAGGACCTGATACTTATAGTACATCTCTTAAATTATTATATGTAACAGTAGGAAAATATATTTATAGAAAATATGAGGTATGAAATTATTTTGATATATTTGTTAATAAAATATTTATGTATTTTATTTCGATTTTAATGCATTAAATTTTTATTTTTATAATTTACAGATTGAAACAAAAAAAAAAGCTGGAATTATAGATAAAATAATTAATATTTATTTAAAATATCTTGAATGGTATTTACATCCAGAAAATAAGGCATATTTAAATAATATGAATAATCGTACTATGTGGCAATATTTTAAATATAAAGAAGCAAAATATGATGAATCTTTAAATTCTATTTGTTTACAATGGCCTATAGATATAATTACAAATATTGGTAAATTTTTATATAAAATTATTTTGAATGATATAATGCTTCAACCTGAGATGTTGAAAGGGCAAGATATAAAACATTCTATTCCTGCATTTTATACGTTGTTTAGAAATAAAGGAAATTATTTATCAGAACAGGTTTGTATATGCAAATTAAATATTGAAATATTTGAAATTTTACAGCATCTGATATTGCTTTTTGAGAATAACAGATTTTATTTTTTGATTTGTAGAAAATCAAAAAAATTTTTTTCATATATAAAATTAAATATTATATAAATATTCTTTCAATAATTCATTTTTATATTACAGATTAAACCTCATCCTTTTTTATCAAAATTATATAAAAAATTGCATATAGAAACATTAACATTTGATGCACATTTTTTACCTTCTTATAGTCCACCAGTTCCATGGACTTCGATACATTCAGGAGGATATCTTATAACAAAAACCAACTTTATAAGATCTCCTAACATTGTAAGTTTTCTATTTCAATTTATTTTTTAAATATATATGTAATAAAAAAATGTTTATTATATTTATATAATGTATAATATTTTGAAGATTATTTTGAAGATATTTAATAATATATAATATATAAACATAATTTTCGTACTTGTTATTTAGGATTATCAATTTCAAACTACAAAATCTAATCAATTATTTCCTGTATTTGATTCATTGAATCAAGTTAGTTCTATTCCATGGAAAGTTAATACTGCTATACTCGATATTGTAATTAAGGTAAATTTCTATTATTATAATTGTTTAATAAATTATTATCAATAACAAATATTAAATATTATTATTATAAATAATTCTTATTTATATATTTTTATTCTATTTTTCATAATAAGATTTTTCAAGATGGTGGTTCTGTTGAATTAAATGTTCCTCAATCAGTTTCTGTATTATCTCCACCATGTCTCTTAAATAAAAATGCTACTATTGAAGAGAAGCAAAAAATAGCAATAGCTATAGCCCAATATAGACAAAAAAAGAATGATACATATTCTCTATGGTGTGATACTCTTTATAAGCTATCTATTGCTAATCATGTATGTTATTTATTTTAATATAATAATTTATTTTTATTAAATTATTAATAATTAAATTATCATTATATTAGATATGAAATAGTTATATTAAGAATTTTAATTAATTCTTTAATTCTATATTCTATATTTTTAATTATTGTTAATTATAATTAATTTAATTTATTGTTAATTATAATTTTTAATATTTTTACATATTTTCCTATTTTGTTTATGTGCATATATATCTATGAGTATATAATAATTATTCTTATTTTAAAGTTTAGAAACGAAATATTTTGGCTACCATATAATTTGGATTTTAGAGGAAGAGTTTATCCAATTCCTCCTTATTTAAATCATTTATCATCTGATTTGGGTCGTTCTTTGCTTTTATTTGCAAAGGGAAAACCTCTAGGACCAAATGGAATAAATTGGTTAAAATTACATGTTATTAATTTAACTAATTTTAAAAAGGGAACTTCTCTTAAAGAACGTCTTGAATATGCAAATCAAAATATGGATAATATAATAGATAGTGCTACTAAACCTTTAACTGTAAGTTATTATTTAAAAAAAAATTTTTTTTAATTTATTAAAAGATAAAATGTATAAAATAATTTTAATTAGAATTAGTATTTGTATTGCAAAGGGTAAAATGTGGTGGAAACAATCAGAAGAACCATGGCAAACTTTAGCTGGATGTATAGAAATAGCAAATGCATTAAAATCACCAAATATAGAAAAATATATAACTTCGTTTCCAGTACATCAAGATGGAAGTTGTAATGGACTGCAACATTATGCAGCTCTTGGTAAAGATCAAATTGGTGCAGAAAGTGTTAATTTATATCCATTTGATGTTCCAAAAGATGTATATTCTGAAGTTGTATCTATTGTAAGTTTTTACATATTTAAGATATTATGTTGATTTAAGATATTTAAGATATTATATAAAAATGTAAATATTTTCAAGGAAAAAATATTCATTTACATTTTAGATTGAAAATCGACGACAAATTGATGCAAAAAATAATGTTAAGGTTGCGCAATTATTAGAAGGATTTATAAAAAGAAAAATAATAAAACAAACAGTAATGACAACAGTGTATGGTGTAACAAAATATGGTGCAAAACATCAAATAGCAAGACAGTTACGAGGTATACATTTAATTATATTTCTCTCTTTTTATCTTTCTCCTCTCTTCTCTTCTCCCTCTTTTCCCTCCTTCTCCCTTTAATACAGGCACAATAGATATATTTATTAAACATTTTTATATTAATAAGTACTGTAATATTAATATTTTATGTAGATACACCAAATTTTCCACAAGAATATATTTGGCCTGCTAGTATTTATTTGACTGAATGTACATTTCACAGTTTAAGAAAAATGTTCAAAAGTGCAAGAGAAATTCAAGATTGGTTTACAGAATGTGCTCGGATTATTTCTTCTATATGTCGTGAAAATGTAGAATGGATTACTCCATTAGGTCTTCCTATTGTACAACCTTATATGAAGCAGAAATCAAATATATATATTAAAGAGAGAAATGGGTTAGTAAAAGTATATAGTTTATTTAATAAATATTATGTACTTCAAATTGATTTCATTGTTTAATATTTTAACATTTAGAAATAATATTTTTAAAAATGATTTTTTTTATATATATAGGAAATCTGATACAATAAAACAACGGAATGCATTTGCACCAAATTTTATACATTCTTTAGATTCTACTCATATGATGCTTACTAGTTTACATTGTAATTCAGAAAATATTACTTTTGTCTCAGTACATGATTGCTTTTGGACTCATCCTTGCACTGTAGATGCTATGAACAAAGTAAGTAAAATTTAACTTTATAAGTAAAATGAAAGTAATTTATATTATTAAATTTTTTGTTTTCTTATATATGAATAATTATTATATTTTTTATAGATATGTAGAGAACAGTTTGTAGCTCTTCATTCTAATCCTATCCTTGAAAATTTAGGTAAATTTTTCATAAAACGATATTTATCAAATGATATTTATGAGTAAGTATTTACAATTTAATATTCACAAAAATAAAATATATATAGATTATATATTTATATTAATATTTTTATATTAATAGT